TATGCAGTATACTATAAAAATGAGTGATATTTAGTGCGGTATTATAATTTTGTACAACACTTACTTGCATATTTACTACATAACAGCTTACGTGAATGAAAATATGTGTCCTATGAATTAATTGGATGCGAGTTGTAGATAAAGTACTAAGTAATATTTAGAATAAGTAGATTTGAATCTTATTTAATGCATAAAGAGTTTTTAGTTAATGATTGTTGTGGATTTTTATAGCTTTTTTAAAAAAAAATAATTAAAATTTTTTTAATTAAGAATTTGTGTTTAACTCCTAGAATTTAATTTTGTAGTTTGATTCTAAGGTCAAATATAATGACATAATGTTGAGAAGCATGAGCGCACCGCTAGTAAAACATTAAAAAATATTCCATTTTAATAAAAAAATTAAACTGCGTTTTGTTCTAAATAAAATAAAGTGCTTTAGCAAACTATAAAGCCTAACTATTTCTTAAAATATTGGAAAGAAATTGCAATAGGACAAAAAAACAATTATGGAATAAAACATGAATTCGAAAATAATCTGTATTTTGGCAAGATTACTGCTTACCAATATTTTGTAAATAATAATAACTATCTCGAAGCTAAGTGATTTCCATACACTTTAAATTTTTCTTTACCATGGTTTCTGCAAATCTTGCTTTATTCCAACTTCTCACTGAAACGCACTGCGGTGGGGGTCAAACAAGAAGTGCCTAAAACCAGGGTGACGGCGCTTTTTTTATAATTCACTTTGTTGTGAATTATTAATGATTTATTTGGTCATTTCCCCCTTTTTTAGTTGGTCCTCTTATTTTACTCTTTTTTTAAAAAATAAGTTTAGAATAGTATTTTAATTTGAAGACGACTTCGCTTGTTAATTTTTGTTTCGATATTTTTATAAATAAGCGTAAATTTTGAATTGGATCTTGTTATTTATTGTTATGACTGGAAAAAGGCAATCGAACAGACAATCTAACTTTAGTCATGTATATTTTTGACAATATTTTTCCATCAATGCAGCAGTTTAAAAAAAATCAGAAAGCGAATGATGCAATCTCATTCACGTAAACTTAAGTAAAGAAAACACGCACAATTAATTTTTAGAAAAAGGACAGAAATGTACAGCAAGTTTAGTTTAGAAAAATACAGAAAAATTAATGAAATAGTTTTCCTTTATTGTCACAAATATAAAAAATCAGAATATAAATGATATTATTTTTTTTAAAGAAAAATCAGGACAGGTACACGACAGATTGCTAGAAAAATATGCATTTTATTATGATATATTTTTATCATGACTCATTATCTGTAAAAGAATCTGCAAATTTGTGTTTTGCATTTATTACAAAATTTTTTTCAACTCACTATTTTTAAAAATATCCTTTACAGCAAAACCTTAAATGTATTGACCGCGAAAGTTGACATTTCAATTTATTCCAAATTTAGTCAATGGGAAGAATTGTAATTCCAAGAAAAAAAGTTCCTAATTGTGATAATATTTTTTAAATGATTAACGGCTAAAATGAATTTATTTAATAAGATTATTTTTTAAATCTGTGCTTACAGAGACATCATTTTCAATAAAATGTCAAATGAATTTATTCAAGACGTGAATATATAAATTTTTTTTTAACTCATCATAAATAATAAACTTAATTATTCGTAAATCATTATCTTAAAGTAAAAACCCTTTGCCTCTACACAAATAAATCTGCCTTCTGTTTTTATAGCATTATCTGATCTGCAAATAAAGCCTTGTTAAAAATTCTCCTGCTTGTAAAGGAATGATGGGTGAAAATAGAGGAAAGAAAAAAAAAACATCTAAACTCAGCTCTGCGTTGGGAAAATAAACTGCTGCTTTTAGTGGAAGTGACTGTGTTTGATAACAAGTTGGCCCTTTTAAAATAAATACACAGAGAGAAACGGTGTATGATCTAAATATGGAGCAAAGCTTTGACGACAGATGGCGCTAATAATAGAGGATTTCAAGATGGCGTCAAGTTCATTAGCAGCAATAAACAAACAACGCTAAATTGTAAACGTTTTGCTTTAAAATAATGATGAAATAAGAAAAGAGAAATGTTTATCACGGTTTAAAGTTTTTACTGGCCTTAATATGTTTTCACGCTTTAGTTTTATGACGTAAGATGAAATAATTAAAATTTATACTCTTATAAATTTTAAAAAAAAATCAGTAAAAGAAAAACATGAGTTAAAAGAAAATTTATCCACTACTTCCTTAACAAATGAACAACATCTGTAAGATTTAAGTACAGAAGCTTTACAAAGGGAAATTTTACTTTTTTAAATTTAAAAAAAAAAAAAATAGTGATGAATTAAAGGAAACGTGTTGACATTAATTCTTTTTTAAAAAAGTTTACGATAACAAATAAAATAAACGTAACTTATGTTTATTTTAATAATTGAAATTATAAAGTTGCAAATGTAATGTTGAATATATAATGTTAAAATCATAAAGTTTCAAAGAATTAAGATACGTATTTTATTTATTTGTGACACTAAGTAATAATTCTATTTATTATGACAAACAATAATTCTACTGGCCTAAAATTTATTTTCCTATGGAAATTAACATATTTTTATGATCATTTTTTTATTTTCTTTAACAAAGATGGCTTGTAGTGAATTGATGGCGAGCACAAAACCATTAAACTGTCTACAGAAAGATGTCTTCTCTTTCTCAACTCTATGTCTTTCTCAGCTAAATTGATCAACTAACTGCAAAAGCTAATATAATTTGATTCATTGTGTGTTTTCTGCAATAATTCTCTTCCAGGGAATGGAGTAAAGAAAATGGTTGACTAAATTGTTGAACGTTTCATGTTCCATCTATGTAAAAAAAAAATGTTTCCTTTTATATTATGATGAACATTATATTTTACATTTATTTTCCCATGGAAATTAATTTCCAATAAAAAAAAGCAAAAAGAATTCCCTTGTGTATTATAATGAACAATGTTCCTACTCTAAATTTATTTTCCCATGGAAATTAATTTCCAATGAAAAAAAAAATTTTAAAAAATTCCTTTTGCATTATGATGAACAAGGTTTCTACTCTTAATTTATTTTCCAATATAAATTAATTTTCAATGAAAAAAATATATAAAAATTTCCCTTTACATTATGATGCAAAAGGAATTCTAAATCTAAATAAAAGGAATTTCTAAATAATCTAAATAAAGGAATTATATAAAAGGAATTTCTAAATAATCTAAATAAAGGAAATTCTAAATAAAAGGAATTTCTAATCTAAAATAATTCTCCCTTGCAAATTAATTTCCAATTAAATAAAAGTAGGAAAAAAATTCCTTTTGTATTATGGTGAATAATGTTTCTGCTCCAAATTTATTCTACTCTGGAAATTAATTTCCTATTAAAAATAGAAGTAAAAAATTTTCTTTTGCATCATGATGAACAATGTATCTACTCTAAATAAATTTTTACATAAAAATTCATTTCCAATGAAATAAAAATTTTTAAAAAAATATTTTTAATTTTGATGAACAATGTTTCTACTCTAAATTTATTTTACTGGAAATAAATTTCCATTGAAAAAAAAATTAAAAAATATTCCTTTTTTTGTTATGTTGAACAATGTTTCTACTCTAAATTTATTTTTCCACATAAACTCATTTCCAGTGAAAAAAATTAAACACAAATTACATTTTGTACAATGATAACCGAGAGGAGAGCGGCAGTTGCTGTAGCACATTTAACATTACCCAGGATGCACCTACGAAGATTTCTGCTACATTACTCCCCTAAAGCAGTTTTCGTGGACATCGAGGGTGCTTTTGTTAAGTGTCTGGAGGCTCAAATGTATCCAAAAATTACAGACCATAGGTGTGTACAGCAATATGCTATCCTGGATAAAGCACTTCCTTTCACAGCGCTTTGGTAGCTCCATGTCTAGCTTTAAACGATGTGAAACTGGCTTGCCCCAGGGTACAGTGAATAGCCCCCCATTATTCAATATCCTTATTAATGACCTCCCTGCTATATTGACTGGTGATGAACTAACTAATACAGCCCTTTTTGCGGATGCTATTTGATGCTGTGCACCAAAAAAGGGCCAATCCAGATTAAATATCACCCTAAATTTCACTCTTGAAAGACTCGATCATTTTATTTTTTTATTTTATAACAGTCGTTGAACAGCCGACCCACTTTTATGGGTTTACGACTGCTAATGTTCAACTCCGTAGCCTTGTAATTTTTAACCCAATCTAGAAGATAAGGGAACTCTTGGATTTGGAGAAATTTTGCCTTCGTGGTGGACTTTTTGATGGAGCTAACCCACATTTGCTTTAGATGGAGAGGAAAACCACGAAAACCCTTCACGGTTAGCCTGACGACAAGGGGAATCTAACCCATTATCCGTCTACCACTGAGGATATTTTACGTCAGCACTGTGGTCGGAGCGTGCCGGGTGCGGGATTCGTATCACCTGGGATTCAAACTCGGTTCGCCTCATTGGAAGGCGAAAGCTCTATCCAGTGAGCCATAGCGGCTCAAGACTCGATCATTGGTGTATGGATAACAATATGACTGTAAACTTTTAAGAAACCTACTAGTCAATTTTTTTTAAACTTTAAGTAGGCAACCTTTCGCTCCCCGCCTTGTTTTTAAGGGTACTATTTTGCAACATAATGATGTTTCAACTTATCTGGGTTGCATCTTTGATTACAAGCTGAAATGAATCAGGTATGTTGAGCATGTCATAACAAAGGCAAAGAACAGACTCCTTATCCTTAAGAGATTAGCAGAAGTTAAATGGAGTTGAGGAAAAGATGTCTTAAACCCAACTTACAAAATCTATATTCAACCGATTTTGAATTATTGCACTGAAGTGTTGATCACAGCTTAGGATGGAGTCTTAAAACTTTTCACACTTTTCAAAATCAGATATTGTGCATGAGGAGTTAAAACTACACAGGAGGAGTTAAAACTTCACAGGAGGAGTTAAAACTACCCCCGTACTTGCTATGCAATTACTTTGTGCTCAACAACAGTTGACTAATTTAATTAAAAGGAAAGCAGCTATTCTGTATAATAGACTAATTAGACTTCCTTATAATTCATATTGGCGAGAATACGACTGTGGCAAGACTCGTAATATGAAGACTCAAAAAGGCTTCATCCAGTGTGTTCGTGAAAATACCCAATATAATGTAGTCAGCAATGCGCCATACGAACTGCTGTTATTAGCAAATCCATTAGAATATATGATTCTCGAGGTCAGATTGGACACAGTTTTGAATGTATGGAAACGTGACGCCAGTCCTAATGCACTCCGTGCTGTTGCTTTGAAAACCATCAATATCCGTTTTCCCCTTGATGAATGGCGTCACATTTACACTGACGGATCTTTCTTGGATTTCTCGCAGGGTGCTGGCGCTGGTATTTTTAGTGATAACTTTTCTTTTTATCTACATGCTGGGCCCCTTTCCACTCACTTTGATGAAGAGCTCAAAGCCATCCATGTTGCTCTCTAACAACTTGCTGTTCGTCTTACCCGTCCTGAGAAAGCTGTGATTTTTTTCAGATTATACCCCTGCCCTTCAGGCTGTGTCAAACAACCCAGAAAATAGTAGTTCCCTTGTATTGAGCTGCAGAAAACTCCTGAAGAGGATTGAGAGAAGTGCTGCATTTCAATGAATTCCATCCCATTGTGGTCTTCGAGGAAACGAAAACTACTTTTAAACTACTACTACTAAACGAAATGGACTTTAGGCCAAAAAAAGAAATAATATTCTTCAGAGATCCTGTAGAGATCTGCCCTAGCATTACGCTAAACTTGAAATAAAATGAGTCTTCAAACAATCGTTCCATTGTTTGGCATCTCACTCTGCTAGAGATAAGTCCTAGAATGTGCTCTGTGGAACTCATAGTGTTCCGGATTCACCCCGTGCTATTGCGGTAGTCATGTTTAGACTTTTGACCGGACATGATTGTCTATGCTCTCATTTATTTCGACTCAAGCTGACTACTTCATCAGATTGTCAATTATGTAATTACGGACAAGCCATGACTGCTGCACATTTAGACACGTGCTCTGCAATAAAGGATTTTGACTGCATAGTACTGGAGAACCGGAAGCCTAATGACTTAATAGTCAAAGGCTGGCATTTGTTTAATAATTATGATGAGCAATATCTCTATTCAAAATTTATTTTCCCATGGAAATAAATTTCCAACGGCAAAAAATACTTAGGTGAGTAGAATTCAGAATTTATCTACTCTATGTCTTTCTCATCTAAAGTGATCAACCAGCTGTAAAAGGTTAATATAATTTTCTTTATTCTACAATTACCCTGTTCCAGCGAATGGAGTGAAGAAAATTGTTGACTCAATGGTTGAACGTTTCACGTCTCATTCGGTATAATTGAAAAGGCTGTCAATTTTGTGTTAATGAAAACTTGCTTCTAGAATGTGATATAAAATTACCGTGATATTGCAATTTATTGAATAGGACATTAAGATGAAGTGTATCCAAGGTTGTGAACTAGTGGGTCTGACCATTTAGTGAGGTGGTTGCTTATATCGCACCCGGCTCCCAAAATCAGGTTTAGGGGCAATGACAACGAAAAAACACAAAACCTGCAACCTAATCTTTCTCAGCCAAAGTTATCAACCAGCTGTAAAAGGTTAATATAATTTGCTTTATCATGCGCTCTCTGAAATTATCCTCTTTCAGCGAACGGAGTGAAGAAAATGATTGACTCAATGGTTAAACGTTTCACGTCCAATTCAGAGTAATTGAAAAGGCTGTCAATTTTGTGTTGATGAGAACTTGAATCTAGAATGTAATATAAAATTATCATGACGTTGGTTGCCATTTATTGAATCAGACATTGAGATGGTCAAAGATTATCAACTAGTGGACCATTTTTTTTTTTTTTTTGGTAGTCAAGTTGTTGTTTGCATCACACCTGGCTTTCAAAATCAGGTTTAGGGACGATTTCAACGAAAAAACACAAAACCGGCAATGGAGTGCCTTATCTTTCTCAGCTAAAGTGATCAAGCAGCTGTAAACGGCTAATATTGTTTGCTTCATAAGGAGTTTATTGCAATAATCCAAACAACTCATTAAATGGTTGAACGTTTCACGTTCCATTCGGTGCAATTGAAAAGAACTGGCATTTTCATGTTGATGAGAACTTGCACTTGGAATAGGATATAGAATTATAGCGGTGCTGTCATCGAATGTGTCAAACATTGAAACGTTATATAGTGTACCCAAATTTACAACTAGTGGTGCTGCCATTTAGTGAGGCATTTTTTAATGTCGCTTTCGGCTTTTTAAATGAGATTTAAAGGGGGACGATAGCAACAAAACAAACTATACAAAATGGTTCCCTATTTTTCTTAGTTAAAATGATCAACTAGCCAGGATAGACTAAGTTTCTTTATCTGATGTTTGCTACAAAATAATAGGATAAGATTTTTCGATATTTTTTATTTTCCTATTAAAAGCTATATAAATAAATACTATGCGAAGAAAATAAATAAATATACATACTGAAGATTATATAGGTATTTTTTACTTGAAATATTTTGCAACAATATTCGTCATGCGATAAATATATTTCATCAAATCATATTGAAATTTATGTAGTTTTTTTTTAAGAATACTTCGGAATATTGTATATTAATTTTCATTATGTGTTTGTTTATTTATTTTTAATATAATGATAATAATTGCTGCCTAGCTAAGAAATTGATAATCAGAAATTGATCATCAGACTTGTGTTTTAATAATTTATGTATTAACGAAAGTATCAACGTTTTTATATTCTTAAATTTTTCTCACGCAAATAAAATATACCTATCTCATTCGTTTAAATAAATAATGCTTTTCTCTGTTATCAGTAATACAACATTTCGAAAATGTAATAATGCAGTTAAACTAAATTTTATTCTGATACCCAGTGAAAAAGTTCTACTGAGTGATAAGCTATTAAGTATCCTCCTCTCAGTAAGAGATAAAAAAAATTCATAAAATTACGTTGGGTTTCAGTGGGAAGATATGGAAAGTGACGGGAGAAACTTAAATATCGATATCTAGATAAATGCGCTATCGTTTCATGTGCATTTTTTTACGTTAAATCGATAAAAGATAAAATGAGGGTCTATAGAAATGGTCCCTAAAATGTGTTCTGAGGAACCCTAGGGTTCCATGAAAGTATCATTAAGATTGCAAGAGTTGGGATTTTTTTAAACGGTTATAATTTTATTCATAATGATCTTCATTATTCGCCTCCAAAAAAAGAAATAGCAGAAATAGTAAAACGAAAAATAAGAAAAATCTATAGAAGACAAGCATTGGGAGAAATTTACCTTCGTGGAGGTCTTTTGCTGAAATTAACCCGCATTTGCGTTGCATAGAAATCAAGACCACGAAAATTTCCCACAGTTTGAATGACGGCAAGGGGACTCTAACCCATGATCCGTCTACCACTGAGGATAGTGCACGTGAGCACTGTGGTCGGTGCAAGCCGGATGCGGAATTCGTATTGACCAACCATCGCTGGGATTCGAATCCGGTTTACCTAATTGGATAGTCTTACATTATTCATTATTTTCATTGAATTATTATTTTGAATGTTTATTTATTATTTTTTACAGGATAATTCAAGACTGCACTGTGAAAAACAATTCCAACGGCAAGGGGCCTCTAATCCATGATCCGCCTACCACTGAGGATATTGCAAGTGAACACTGTGATCGGGCAAGCCGGATGCGGAATTCGTATCGACAAGCCATTGTCGGGATTCGAACTCGGTTCATCTCATTGGATACTCCTACATTATTAATTTTTTTGTTGAATTATTACTTTGAATGTTTATTCATTATTTTTTACTTGATAATTCAAGACTGCACTGTGAAAAACAGATCCTGAAAAAAAATATGTAAGGAGTTTGCAAAAAAGCCTGGAAAATTGCGTTAAGGTGAATGGAATAAAGAAAGTAACTGATATTTATCGCAAATATTAAGTTGTGAATTCACATTATGTACACTAAGTAATTTACTTTTGAATAAAACATCTATTTATATCTGGGCCCGGTGGCTGAATTTACGGTGTTAATCTGTTGCACTATCTTCATAAATCACAATTTATCTGCAACTTCATAGCAGTCAGAATGTGATTATTATTATACAAAATCCAGTTTAAACTAACATAGATGTAACAAAATTTTCAAATATAAGCTTCTTAAAAATTCTAGATAAAATTTTTGTTGTTTAAATATAGGTTGAATTTCACATAATTTTTTCACGTTTTGTGTTTTTGCTTGTTAAAATATATAATGAAATAAATGTTATATCCAATTATTTAATTTTTTGATTAGTGTAAGTAAAATAATTTCAAAATATAAAAGGGTAAGATTTATAACTGTATACAAAAACTTTTTTTTCATATGATAATATCAGGTATAAATAATAAGTAGATAAAAATGTTAATATAATATAGGTATCCAATATTTTGATTGCTCTTCTGAAATTACTAAAAGTACATTTTTTTTTGCTTTGTAGAATTCAAAATAAAAATACATTAAATAGGTTTCTAACTCATTTTTTAAAAAAATTTAAAAACTGCAGATTTAGTTTATTTTTAAAACCATGCTTAAACTTATTTTACTCCTTAAAATAAGTAATGTAGCTCCATTAAAACCTAGCTGCATTTTTATCTGAAACTTATTTTCGAAATCTTGTGTCATCTGGATTTCATGTATGAGGTAAAAATTTGACTGACTTTAAACTTTGCAATGAACAGTTTAGCATTTCAATTTGTAGGTAAGTAAGGTTGTAATTTGAAGGTAAGTAAGGTTCAATTTCAAAGAGTACGTAATAACGTTGCAGTTAATTTGAACAATATTACAGGTCATTGAGTTTTAAGATTAACTATGCATATCAGAAAAAAATAGCTCTTGGAATTTAGGGACTCCTACTTCACTCAAAATCAATAACTAAAAAATCGTTCCAAATTCCTAATAATTTATAATCGAAAATTGCATTTTTCAAACATCAGTATTTTTTACAAGAATAATCTTTTAAAATGAGGACATGCAATTTAAAGTTATGATGAAACTTTGTCTGAAATTGCCATTTGAATTTTCTGTTTCTAGGTAAAAATTTAACTGGAATGCAAGGCTAAAAGTGTTATTTTATTTATTGTTTTACTATTTATAAATTTTACCCATTTTTTATTTTATTTGCGCAAAAATGTGCTTACTTAATAAGAGTTATGTTTTTAAATGTAAATTTTTTTAACCAGATGTACCATATAGTACAATAATTTTACCAATTTTTTTAACCGTGTTGCAATCCTGTTTAAGAAGTAGGGTAAAACAATCATCATTGGTGTTGAAGCAAATAATATGGTTTAACACTATGGGATATATGGATAATGGATAAACAGTAATATGGTTTAACACTTATTCGATTTTAGAGTCTATTTATAGTTTGTATTTAAGTTTAAAACTTGCATGTGTTT